TTTCATTGCACTTTGATTAGCATTTGCTTGATTTGTGGAAAACTGAAGAATGTTTAATCATAAATGTACTCATTTTTAATAAATAGCATAATTTGACTAATTCTATGTCAAATTAAAGAGATTTTGTTTGAAAATAAGGAGTTCCTTGATCTTAGGAATTCAGTCTTTGTCACTTCCTATTAGGCATTTCTGGCCCATAATATAAAACTTTCTGTCTTTCATTCTTTTTTCCTCCACAATACCAGGTATTGAACTAAGACCTAGTACAAGCCAGACAAGAGCTCTACCATTTCCCTTTTCCTTTCTAATAGACCAAAAGTGGAAGAAAAATTTCCATGTCATGCACTATTCAGGATTCTTGATGAAGTTTCAAATCATGAGCTTAGCAAGTTTGAAGCCCTATGGGAAGGTTGGAGAGGAAGTTTTTCTTTCTATACTCACGTACTCTTCTTGTAGGAATGAAAATCCATCAAATAATCTTAATTAAAGACTAATTACTGTTTCCAATGAAATCATGTTCCATTATATAGCTTAAGTTTTATAATTTTTTACTGAGTTTATTGTTACATTTTAGGTATACAGTTACATTCATTATTGGGATCTTGTAACTTTACATAACAGGTCTTGGTTGTCATTTTTTCCCCTTGTCCCCGCCCTCCCTTCACCCCCTCCTCGCCTCCCCATTTACAAGCACTTTGTTTCCATTTTTTTCATTTTCTCATATATTTTCCTTTTCCCTTATTATCTTTCTGCTACCATTCCCACTTTCCCTATACCTTTAGCCCTCATCTTCCTACTTCACATTGTCAATTATCTCATTAGGATCTTATGTACTATTATAGTTTGTTCACACCAGAGAAACTATTCGGTATTTACACATGTGTGACTTATTTATTTCACTTAGGAGTATATTCTCAATATGTATCCATTTTCCTATGAATGAATCTAATTTCTCATTCTTTATAGAAAAACCAAAACTTCTTTATCCAGTATCCAATTGATGGGCAAATGAGCTGTTTCCAAATTTTAGTTGTTACAGCTGTGCCACTATAAACATAAGTGTGCATATATCACTGTAATATGATTCTTTGAATTCTTTTGGACAGATACCCAGCAGAGGTATGGCTGGGTCAAATGGAACTTCTAATCCCAGCTCTTTCAGGTATCTCAATATTGATTTCCATAGTGGTTGCACCAGTCTGCATTCCTACCAAATATGGGGAAGGGTTCCTTTCTCCCCACAGCCCAGCCAACATTTGTTATTGGTTGATTTTTTTGATAGCAGCTATTCTTTGTGGGGTGAGGTGGAATCTCAGTGTTGTTTTCATCTGCAAGTCTGAAATGACCAATGATGTGGAACATTTTTTTCATATATTTGCTTGCTGCTTTTACTTCTTTGTCTGAGAAATGAAGGCCATCATAGGCAACAGACACATGGCAGTGGGTATAACAATTCCCAATTTGAAACTATACTACAAAGGCACAATGATAAAAACAGCATGGTACTGGCAAAGAAACAGACGTGAGGATCAGTGGAACAAATTGGAAGACACAAAAACAACTCCAGATGTACTCAGCTGCCTCATCTTTGACAAAGGAGCTGACCATCCCACTGGAGGAAAGATAGCCTCTTTAATAAATGGTGTTGGAAAAACTGGATCTCAACCTGCCAAAGATTAAATCTAGACCCTTATCTTTCACCACGCACTAAATTACAATCCAAGTGGATTAAATATCTAAATATTAAAACAGAAACATTAAACTTGCTGGAAGGTAAGTTAGGCAACTCTGGAAGGCATTGGCGTAGGAAAAGACTTTATGAACAAATCTTCAGTAGCACAGGAAATAGCAGAAAGAATCAACAACTGGGATCTGATCTTATTAAAAAGCTTCTGCACTGCAAAAGAAGCCATCAACAGAACTAAGAGACAATCTACAATGTGGGAAAAATTTTTATCAGCTGCTCCTCAGACAAAGGACTATTATGTAGAATATATAAAGAACTCAAAACAATCAGCCCCCCCAATATAAAGACCTGATTAAAAAATGGGCATCTGAAATGAGCTTAAGTTTTATTACATGTACCAATTAAGGATTGTTTCAAGGAATAGATAGCTACTCAGGCTTATCTAAGTTAAAATTTTATTGTGAGGCTTCTGCAGAGTCTCAGGGGCACTCATAGTTTTGGCAAGAATTTTAATTTTTAGCCCTTCTTAATTTTAGGAGACAAGTTAAACATGAGAGTACTTTTTTTCTTCATAACTTTTGAGAGGAACATTTATGGCATTTCAATGAATAATTGGAATAAGACACAAAGACACTATCAACAAGTAATAATCTTTCCTACATAATCTAGCTATCAGTGAAGAGTTATGTTAATGTATTTTAACAGCTGTGTAAATAAATCAATCAGAAAAACATTATTAATTTAATTTAACCGACTTTAAATATTCCATTTTCCAGGTTTTAAAGTCATGTTTTAAAAATTAAAAGTGATGGAGCTTTGTCTCAGATCAGTCATAGATTACATAAAATCACCTTTAATTTTCAAATCTTTTTGATAATTTGTGAGCTTATTTTTCAATACTTCTCTCTTTCCATATTAATACATCAGCTATATTAGCTTCTCTTCCTTAGACATTCCTTATTTTGATAGGGACATCTATATTAAATAAATCAGAATTCCTTTCAAAATTTTAGGCACTATTTTATTCTTGTAGAGGTCTATAATGGCCCTGGCTGTCATTTTGGGTCATTTTTATGTTGTTATTGGGATAACTCTTTAATTCTTGTAGCTCCTTCTTGGTTTACTGATAGATCTTCAATGAAGCTTATTTTCTAAAAGATTATTGAGAAAAATAGGTAGGAAATACATTTTTCTTCCCTTAAATATATCAGAAAATATTTATTCAATGGTTATACTTGATTTGTATTTTGGCTACCTACTTAATATTAGATTGGAATTAAATTATCATCAAAATTTCAAAAGCTGCTCTCAGTGTCTTATAGTTTTAGTATTTTTTCCAGAAACTTGACCCAATTCATTGTCCAGATTTTATGTTTTAGTTTTTCTCTTTCATATTAAAAGATTTCTCCACATATTCTCTACCTGTAACAAAATTATAATCTCCATAATGAAGCAATATAATTTTAATAGTTTGGCTATTTTCTGGAATTTATCCAAACATTTTTCCTGTTAATGTAGAGTTGAATGCTATAAGGCCATGTATAAACACAATTTTTTAATTTTTTTTAATTTAATTTTATTGAGTTTATTGGTACATTTTAGGGATACAGTACAGTTACATTCATTGTTGGGCTCATGTACCTTTACATGGCAAGTCTTGATTCTCATTTTTTCCCCTTACCTCTGCCCTCCCTTCACCCCTTCCTCCCCTCCCCATCTACAAACACTTTATTTTCATCTTTTCATTCTCTCACATTTTTTTCTTTTCCCTTTTTGTTTTTCCCCTACGTATCACACCTTCCCTACACCTTTAGCTCTTTTCCTCCCATTTCTAAATGTCAGTAATCTTATTAGAATCTTATGCATTGTTGCAGAATATTCACACCAGGGAAACTATTTGGTATTTACACATGTGGGACTTATTTATTTCACTTAGGAAAATCTATTCTCTCGCTCTTTATGGCTGAGTAATATTCCATTTTATAGAAAAACCACAACTTCTTTATCCAGTTTCCAACGGATGGGCAAATAGGTTGTTTCCAAGTTTTAGCTATTACAAACTGTGCTGCTATAAACATGGGTGCACATACTTCTCTGTGATATGATTCTTTTAGTTCTCTTGGAAGGATACCCAGCAGAGGGATGGCTGGGTCAAATGGAACCTCCAGTCCAAGCTCTTTGAGGTATCTCCATATTGATTTCCATAGTGGTTGCACTAATCTGCACTCCCACCAACAATGGAGGAGGGTTCCTTTCTCCCCACAACCCCGCCAACATTTGTTATTGTGTGATTTCTTGATAGCAGCCAGTCTTTGTGGGGTGAGGTGGAATCTCAGTGATAAACACAATTTTTTAAAAAATAATTTGTTTGGTTTTTGTGAGACACTGTGTAGTTGAGACTGACCTGTTACTCACTATGTAGCCAGGCTGGTCTCAAACTCACAGTGATCCTCCTGCCTCAGCCTCCTGAGTGCTGGGATTACAGGCATATGCCACCATTCCCGGCTCAAATAGTTATTTTTTTTATTTTTATTTTTTTTTTGTACCTAGGATTGAACTCAGGCCCT